TCAACAAACTGAAAACGATCAGATAAATAAGATTTAAACCAGCTTAGTGCTGAACCTTTTAGGCCAATTAAGTGATCCAGTCTCTGCAGCAGAATTTGATGGTCAATTGTGTCAAACGCCGCACTAAGATCTAATAAAACAAGTACAGAGACGAGTCCTTTGTCTGAAGCAATCAGAAGGTCATTTGTAATTTTAACTAGTGCTGTCTCAGTGCTATGATGCACTCTAAATCCTGACTGAAATTCCTCAAATAAATTACTATCATGGAGAAAATCACACAGCTGGTCTGCGACTACTTTTTTATTTTTTTATTAATAAAAAGTTTTTAAAAAATGCTGATAAAATGACCGAAGAAAAAAAATGCAACAAAATGTTGATAAAATATGTAAAAATAACCTCAAGTTGCGTGGGCACTATATCCTGCAGTGTGTCAGGTTGCTCATCTGGCATCAAATGACAGTTTGTCTCTGTTTCCTGTTTCCTGTTTGGTGCAGACGTCCAGCAGCTGTTGGTGGTTAAAGAAGAGGTTCCCCCTGAGCAGCAGGAGTGGAGCTCCAGTGTGGACCAGGAGGACCCAGAGCCCCCACACATTAAAGAGGAAGAGGAGGAACTGCTCCACAGTATGCTGGAGGAGGCTGACATCACCAAGTTCACATTCACTCCTGTCCCTGTGAAGAGTGAAGATGATGAAGAGAAACCTCAGTCTGAGGGACACCACTGTGGAGGACCAGGACCAGACAGGGACTCAGGTCTAGACACTGATGACAGGACCAGAGACTGTTCTGAGAGTCACGTGGGTGACTATCAGACGGATCCTGGTGAACCTCCTTCAGCTCCGCTAATCGACAGTGTCCCTGTCAGCAATGAGGGACGTCATGCTGGAGAGAAACCGTTCAACTGCTCCGTGTGTGGGAAAGGGTTTCACTCCAAGACAAACCTGAACATCCACATGAGGGTCCACACTGGAGAGAACCCGTTTGGTTGCTCCGTCTGCGGACGTAGATTCAACCAGAAGCAGAACCTGATGCGTCACATGACGCGTCACACGGGAGAGAGACCATACTGTTGCTCCATCTGTAAGAAACGGTTCAAATACAGCGGAGACGTTGGACGACACATGAGGATCCATGCACGACAGAGAAAGTCCACTTCCTGTGTGACTGATCACATGACCACAGACAGTGACGGGCAGCACACAGAAGAGAACCCATTCACCTGCTTCTTGTGTGATGAGGGCTTCTCTCTGTGGGTGGACTTAATGCGACACATGACGCGTCACACAGTAGAGAAACCGTCTACTTCCTGTGTTGCTCAGACAGAACCAGAAAGACAATTAAAATTAGGAAGTGATGACACGTCAGTTGAGACTGACATCCATCAGACCGGAGAGCCTCAGTCAGGTTCAGACTCTACAAAGGCGCCACAAAGTGGCAGCAGGAAGTTGTTTATTTGCTCCGAGTGTGGGAAACGATTCGGCACCAGGACGAACCTGAAGGTTCACATGAGAGTTCACACTGGAGAGAAACCCTTCAGCTGCTCTGTTTGCAGGAAAGGCTTCACCCAGAAGGCCAATTTACTTCGTCACATTCCCTGCCACACAGGAGAGAAACCGTACAGCTGTCCTTCCTGCCATAAGCACTTCAGGTGTGAGCCGTATGTTGAGAGACACATGAGAATCCACCACCAAGGAAAACTGTTTACTTCTTGTGTGAGCAACATGGCAGCAACTAACGACAGGAAGTCGTGCATCTGTTCTGAGTGCGGGAAAAGATTTGGCAACAAGACGAACCTGAAGATCCACATGGTTGTCCACACCAGAGAGAAACCATTCAGCTGCACGGTCTGTGGCGCCAAGTTTACGCAGAAGTCCAACCTGAGGCGTCACATGACCCGTCACACAGGAGAGAAACCGCATAGTTGTCCCGTCTGTCACAGATGCTTCAGGTTCAAAGGAGACGTCAGGAGACACATGAAGGTCCACACCAGGGAGGGGCAGTCTGCTTTCTGTGTGGACGAAGCAAAGAAGCAGATGGAGCTCCCACCTGTCCCACTAAGGGGCGAGGATGATGAAGACAGACTCCAGTCTTCACAGATGACGACAGACGCTGACGAAGGAGATGGTGGAGAACCAGATCCTGAGGACCAAGAGGAAGGAGGGAAGGAAGTCCCCGTCAGCGAGGAGACGTCAGAGAAACCACTCAGCTGCTCCCTCTGCGGGAAGACCTTCACCCGACGGTACTCGCTGTCTGTCCACATGAGATTCCACACAGGAGAGAAACCCTTTAGCTGCTCCGTCTGTGCCAAACGCTTCGTCCAGCGCTATCACTTCCTGGAACACACACGGCACCACACAGGTGAGAACACGTTCGACTGCGCCGTGTGTGGCAGAAAGTTCGGTCACAGGTTCCGTCTAGCAAACCACATGAAAACGCACACGGGGGAGAAACCGCTCAGCTGCCTGCTGTGTGGGAAAGGATACCGGTACAAAGGAGAGCTGGTGGAACACATGAGGGTTCACTCGGGGGAGAAACCGTTCAGCTGCTCCATCTGCAGCAGGAAGTTCCGTCTCAAGTACATCCTGAAGAACCACATGAGAATCCACAGCAGCGAGTTCCCCTTCAGCTGCTCACGCTGTGGGCGGGGCTTCAGGCAGAAGGGGAATCTGAATAAACACATGGCGATGCACGAGGCGGAGGACGTCCCGCCACAGTGACGAGGACAGAAGACACAGACTTTAGTGTTTGAGATACTGCAGCTGTCGAGTTCATCAGGACGCCGTCAGGTTCACTGTGGACTGTGAGACGTGTGTCCATCATTAGACGGACAGACAGACAGACAGAGACAGAGAAGGACTGAGACCAAGACAGAGACAGACATACACACAGACAGAGACAGAGGGTGGGGCTGGGGTGAGACTATACCAAATATCATTAAGATGTCCAAAAAGTTTTAATATTTCCAAAAAAAAAAAAGTTGATAAAATTTTTGATAAAAGTTAGCCTCTGGTCAGTTTAGAGTTTCGACCGCAGACACTCACTGTCAGTGAAATGTCTGAAAAATATAATTACAACATTTTAGGTAGGGCTGCAACTAACGATTATTTTCATTGTCGACTAATCTGTCGATTATTTCTTCGATTAGTCGACTAATCATTTCATCAAAAAATGTGTTAAAATGTTGAAAATGTCGGTCTGTTTCCCCCAAACCTCAAAATTATGTCATCCAGTGTCTTGTTTCATACTCATGCCAAAGGGTTTTAGTTCACCGTCATGGGAGAGTGTGTAAAGCTGCCAATATTTCAACATAAGAAGCTGCAATAAGAGTATTTTGGGGTACTTTTATAGTACTTTTTTATGAAAAGACTCAAACCGATTAATCGATTACTAAAATAGTCACCGATTATTTTAATAGTCGATTAGTCATCAATTAGTCGATTAATCGTTGCAGCCCTAATTTTAGGAGATGAATTCTGACATGTTTTCCTCTCATCACCCCAAAAAACACGTGGCTCCCAGCCTGTCAGACACCAGTGGTAACATGAGCTGGATTTAACACAGTGATGTCATCAGCACACGATGACGTCAGGGACTTTTTCATTTGTCAGTACATGTCATAAAGACGAAACTCAAACTGATCTAAGCTCGGACACCAGACGGCACTGGGACTCGACCCAAGTGTAGGACAGAGACAGTGTGACCAGGAACCTTTGTGTCCTGACCCTCAGACCCTGACCATTGATGCAGGGTCTGGACCCCCTCAGGTCTGGACCCTGATAAACTGACCCACTAAGAATTCTCAGTCCTGTTTTTGTTCTCCAGCAAAATTTCATCTGAGCTGCAGTCGTATTGGTAGTTAATAAAACATCTGCTGCCCCCTGCTGTGTGTATTTACATATGAATAAATGAAAAACCTATTTTGGTTTTACTGTGAAGAGACTTTATTTATTTATTTATTTGTTGTTATTTACCTCTTCTGATCTTTAGCTTCAACTTTTTTTCTTTGTGTTAATTCTGTGTTAAATCTGTTAGATAAATGAAAAAAAAAAGAATAATTATATTGGCAGTGCCACAGTGTGACATCACTTGTGATCAGATCCATGTTTTCATTCAGTGATGTAGAATGAATGAATAAAGTTGATCAATGACTTTAATATAAACCCTGATCAATGAATTCAGCAAATCAGACATCAAAATGTATTTTTTTATATTATGGTTATTAAATGAAAAAGAAAATTGGCTGAAATGTTACAATTATTAGTTCTGAATTATTCACTTAAATAAAATTATGATAAAAAATGTATACTTTTGGATTTGACAATTTACGAATAATTTATTATTAGCTTTGATTCATTTGATTTTATTTATTATACAAAAATAATAATACTGTGTTATTTCTTTTGCATTTATTAGATTCAATTTATTCCAAAACAAAACTAAAAATGTCAAAAAAGATGTCAAAATCATGTAAAAAAAGTCATAGTAGAATATGATGTCAAAAATCACTTGATAAAGTCATAGCCCTGCCCACCTCGTCAGACGGGGTCACGTCACGTGAAAAATTTGTAGTAAAGTATTTCATCAAAACTCATGTGAAAGTCATAGTAGAGTATGTCGTCAAAAATCACGTGAAAAAGTCATAGTATAGCATGTCCAAAATCATGTAAAAAAAAGTCAGTATAGTATGTCGTCCAAAA